GGATCCTTGTGAGCTGGAGGCCAGCCTGGTCTACATAGTGAGTTCCAGGACAGCTGGGGCTACAAGGAGACCCTGTCTCAAAGAAACAAAACAAAACAAAACACATTTGTGAGTTTTTACCTTTCAAAAGTGATGCCTACTCTGCTCAGTTTAGTCTTAATTTAGAAGAGATTTAAGAATCTACCAGAGGTAGACTATAGAACAAGGCAATCTGTTACATAGAACTGGGTATGGTTTCTTTAATCAGAAAAGACACAAATAGCTGTTAGGTAGCATGTGTCAGTTATTTAAGATTACCTCAATCTAATCCAAAAACCTGCTTCAAAATTAAATTTCTGTTGTTTAAAAGAATGCTTTAAATTTAACGTTCAAATTAATATTAGATATTTAAAATCTTTAGGATTACTCAATAAAGAACAAAGCATGTTTTACTATGCAATAGGAAAAATACATCTCAATTAAAATAAGCCAAAGGTTTTGAAATTTTGTTCTTGAGAACAAGCAAAATAGCTAAGATTCCATGTAATCTAGTTTAAAATCCTGTCAACCTGTACCTGCTAACCATTCTAAGATATGAAGTCTTTTTGTGAAACTATTCAAAGATGGACACTTTGAATTTCATATGACCTTCTATATACAATTATTTAATCTCAATTGTCAAAACATTCTCTCACAGTCTGGGCTTAGTGGTGCACACCTTTAATTCCAGCACTTGGGAGGCAGAGGCAGGCAGATCTGAGTTTGAGGCCTAAGTCAGCTGGGACTACAGGGAGACCCTGTCTCAAAAAGACCAAAAAAACAAAAGACAAAACGAAACAAAAAAAAACTATTCTCTCACATCTAGGCAACAGAATGTTTAAAAATTAGATTTTAATGTTATATTCTTTAAAATAGAAGACAAGGTCAGTATCTTCATAAAACTACTGAATATAGATCACAGGCTATACGAAACAAACACTATTAAATAATATAGATACCTAATGTTATATATACCAGCATATGACAGTATTTAAGGCTCAATAATGGGCTTATTAGGTAGGAACCACCATTCAAAAAGTAGTATCTGAGGATCTAAACAACAAAGAACATAAATTCAATAAGCTCTGGTGCCTGACAGCTAAGGCTTTGTGAGACCTAAATTTAAAGTCTGTCTACATTCATTGCTAAAGCCAATAGGTCAACCGTAGGCTTAATTCTACGACACTATCAGGCCAAAAGAAAAGGCCTATGAATTAACTATATGCATTTCTACACACACCTGCTCAAGTATGAAGAACTGAAATAACACAGCTCTCATTTCTCAAAGGAAATGTAAATTATCTACTCAAGAACGAAAAGTTCAGTTTCATTACAGAAATATTTGTGTTAAAAATAGGGACAGAGGGGCTGGAGAGATGGCTCAGCAGTTAACACTGGTTGTTCTTGCAGAAGACCCGGGTTCGAATCCCAGCACCCACAAGGCAGCTAACAACTGTCCATAACTCCAGTTCCAGGGGATCCAACAGCCTCTTCTGTCCTCCGCAGGCATTGCTCAACACAACACGGGTACACTTGCCTAAATGCAGGCAATACACGCATACACATAAAATAAAAAATAATATATATTTTTTTAAAAAAATAGGGACAGAAAGAGTATATAGAGTTACACAGTTAGGAAATGGTAGGGTTGTGATTTAATTCAGGCCTTCTGGTTCCAGAACCAACAACCTGAATCATTATACTATCCTGCCTGAAAGTTATCAGGACCAGAAGAAAAACACATCCAGAAATTAGGAACTGAGAAGAAAAATACTTTTATTCTGATGTAAAAATGAAATATAAAAGAAGACAAGAAACAAATGGGGGAATGTGATTTTATTTTATAATTGTATGTTTCAAAACATTATACTTGGAAATTTTTACTAGAAGTTGCAAAGACCAAAGACAAAACACCAGCATAAATACATAGTTTAATTGTTGCTACATTAAACTTACATTAATACAATATTTCCATGATATATTTCATGTTGTATTAAAAGAATAATTCAGAGGCAGGCGTGGTGGCACACCCTTTAATCCCAGCACTCGGGAGGCAGAGGCAGGCGGATCTCTGTGAGTTCAAGGCCAGCCTGGACTACATAGTGAGTTCCAGGATAGCTGGGGCTACAGAGAGACCATGTCTCAAAAAGACCAAAAAAAAAAAAAAAAAAAAAAAAAAAAAAGAATTCAGGATAAGTGAAACTAGAGAAACTACAGAATCCTGGCCTCTGGCAGACGAGGTCCCCTTAGTGGAGTTACAAAAGGGACCCTGGAAGGTGGACAGAGGAGACAAGAGCATGTTATCAGTGGTGGGTTTTAAACTCTGTCATGAAGATAACTCTTGAGAATGCCTGTAGATACAGCTCACACTTTAATGAACAGCAGAGCATTACTGGCAAGACTATAGAGCTAGGAATGTAACTTTATAGTGGGGTTTTAGTCATGACTCTTATCTACCATATGCAAAAGAGAAATGAACATCATGATATGTACCTTAATATCAAATAATGCACAGCATCAGGAAACCCTATAAATACAGCAAGAGACAGGGCCTTAACCAAGTCTAAAAGCCCAGTTCACATCAGAAAATTCATCCTAAGAATCATACAAGTTTAAGGACTGTGGAAAATCCATTAACACAGTTTAAATTTTAGTAATCAGAAAATTCAAACTGAATAGAAAATGATTTTCACTAGAAGTAGGAAAAACAATAACTATGGAAGACCACCATGAATATATAAATGCATACTTTAAAAAAGTGGCTACATTAAGTAACTTAATTTAATACTTCTATATTATGTTATCTCATACTGTATTTTTAAAATGCAGAAAAGTGATACTAGAAAACAAAAACAAAAAACTACAGAATCTTGGATTCTGTGGCAGACAGGGTAACCTTATAGTAAAGAAAAGGGAAATGGAAGGTAGAAAGGAGACCAGCTGAAACTAAAAGAACAAAACAAAACACAAGGCCCTTAGGTAGCACACATCAGGAAAGCACAGTGAAGAGAAACCCTTTCTATGTGACAAAAACAAGTGGCAACTTATTCCTATACTTCAGTATCAGGCCTTTCATAAGAAGAGCCCTCCCTATGAGTACACTGAACACACAGGCATTTAACCAACAAGATGGAAACTGAAGACAAATGCTAAAGCAGTAGACAGGTGCTTAGATGTGCCTACCTAGCAATGTAAAACACAAGGGCACCCATCTCCAAGTCACATTAGTCCTCACACCTGCTTTATTCTTCATAGTAGTCATCAATTGGCATACTGTATATCTTTCCTCCACTAGAAGTTCCATAGTAGGAGGGTGTTTAACAAAGCTATGTACTCAGTACCCAGGACAAAATATGGCATTTAGTAGATACACAATAGCTGTTGAATGGATTACAGGCTTAATTACCATCCTCATTGTGGAATATTTGGTATTTTGAGGTTATTTCATTCTAAATGAAGCAGAGTTTATTTAGCAGGATTTAATAATACAAAAATTGTTATTCATTTCTAACACACCAGAGTAAAAAATACTGCAACTACTACAGTCTACAAATTATACTCCAATTGTTTGGGGGACAAAATTGTACAAAAAGCACCCAGGAATACCCTCATAATTGTACCAGCCAGTGAATCCACAAGGGTCATAAGGGCAAAATAGAAGCTTTCAGCTTCTGAAGTTAAAAAGGTCTCTTATTTTCTCAGGTTTAGAATCTAAGTATCACTTTGTTCCTCTTATATATTCCTATTTGCCTTGTCAAAAACTGGTAGAGAGGGCATGGCATTTTGGAATACAATAGCAGCAATTCTTTTGTGTAGAATCTGGCATTTCAAATCATGCTTCATTAATTCAAAATCCATTACTATTTACCATGCAAAAAGCAATATGTGCTAAGGTAAAATTTTAATATATGAAGTTCACTCAGAAAGGAAAGTAATTACAAAGCAATGTGGTGTGAGTGTGGTAATGTGGGTGGGGAAGACAGGGAACATAACAAAGGAGTATCTCATTTCTACTGGAAAGGTCTTAAAAAATCCTTTGGACATGATCATTGAAGGTGCATCATAAAGGTAAATATTTATTGGCCACAAGGAGCTCAGAAATAAGATGTTTACAAAGGTATACCGAAGTTATGAAACAGAAGCACATTTGGGAAAGGTACTGGAAGCACTTGAGATGAACTGACCATGATCCCTTAAGGAAGTCTGTGCTTCTAAAACCACATTAAAAATCATTTAATTTTAGAAAGGTAAGGTAGTTAATAATAAAACTTGTTAAAATGCTAAATTACATAAAAAACCTTGACTGTGTAAAGCTAAACCAAGGGTTGAAGCAGGGATAGGGAGAATTTCCTCTTGTTTCCAAGGTTTATTCAGAATGTGTATGTTTATCAAAAAGCAGCCTAGGATTTCAATGTTTGAAAAAACACTGATCTAGAACACAGAGCATGTCTGTAGAAATGAGGGTAGGAATGTAGGCTCTCTATTTCCGCAGAATATACAAAACTGAAGAAATATGAAGCAGAAAAGATTTTCTGTAAGATAAAAATTTGCTGTTTGTAGACACTCAATTTAAAATTTCTGCAACATTTGTCTAAATGAAGGTGTCTAATAGGCAGTTGGAAATAAGATTCAGAATAAGGTGCCTGGGGTTCATGATACTGGCATGGAAGACAGTCTGGTATTATATAAGCTGCAATGGCTGTAAAAGATGTTGCTTAACAAGGGTATTTGGAGTAAAAAGCAAAGAAGAAAAACTTAAAAATAAAGAAGAAAACAGAACTCTGGTGAGGCTCAACACCAAAAGGACAAGAAAATGAGAAACTATGAGAGAAATCAGGGAAACAGCATAAATTAAGTATGTATTGTAGATCAGTTTACAATAAAAAGCAGGCAACCTCTTTTGTCTAAAACAGGAAAATGAGTAAATATTAGTCAACTCCTTGAGAGTCTAAACTTTCTGTGCAAGAGGAGCAGAGAACATGAGGAGAGTAATAAATTTGACTCCACCACACTGCCAGAAGAGAAAGGGGCAGCCTAGCAACAAAAGGCTTGTTGGGTTCTTCTAAGTGAAGTCACACATGTAATAATGCACTCTGAAGGACTGCATGCCTTTCTATAGACTCAGCCTCCTAAGAAGCTTTGACAAGATTAACACAGTGCTGAGAGTTTGTACAAAAAGACAAGGCTGAAAGGTAAGATGGAAGAGGGAACAATGGGGGACACGTGTTCATACGGTGACCTATGAAGCTGAGGACAAAGAGGAAAATGTGAAAGAGGCTCATGGTTCAGAAGTTGGGGGAGCAGTCAAGAAAAGTCTGAAGAAATTACAGGCTGTAGAATGTAAACAGAGAAACATCAGTAAAAACAAGAACATTTAAAAAGCTGGAAAGATAAGAATGTCATCAGCTATTGAAATTTCAGAAATAGAAATTCAGGATGATTGATATTCAAGGTGTAGTCACAAAAGTGGCTGGAATGTGATGATGTCATTGGGACAGAACTCTAGTGCATCAGAAGGAATCACACAGACCATCCCAAGATGACAAGAGTTGAGGTAGACAGAAAGATGGGAAGCAAGATATCAAGTGAGGCTCATTAGCCTTCAGCGAGTCAGTCCTATTAAAGGTAAAACATTCAGGTTTCAATACAATAGGCAAAAGATGTGCCTCAAAGCATTTGAACTAATAATGGACTCACGTAACCTGATTTTTATCTTCATTACTTAAGAAACAATACTTTTTATTTTAACAAAATATGAAATAACTTTTCTATAAAATGCCTACATAAAAAATTTAACTATGATTAGTAATGCATGGGAAAATAAACACAATGATCCCTTTGTGGAGTTTTCTGTTATTTACTTACTGAAAATTAAATGTGAATATTAGTCATGACCTTTTAATTGCCTACATTTATATCCATAGTAGGTATTTGAAATAATGAGGTAAATTGATTTTAATCTCTGAAGCATGACAAACTTCAAAATAGGAAGATTCAATTTTGTGTTACATATATTTCATCACAATAAAAATACTGTAACCTAAAGTATGAGGAAAAAAACCTGTAAATCTAAATTGGGTTCCTCCTTACTAGTGGCAGGATTATATATAGTTCAGATTCAGTTAGAGTAACATATATGTCATTTTAAATACTTTGTTCAAAGATTTAAGACTATAAGAAGACAAAGATAGCATTTAAAGAAGGGTAGCCATATTGGTTATCTTTATGTAGTGTAATGTTCTCAAAATCAGTATGTCTTCTTTTCTGAAGCTTTCTTTTCCATTTCATGGATCTTTTCTTTTTGGGGAATGTCAAAGGACTAAATGAACCACTAGTTACAGCAATGCTGAAAGAAATTTAAAATTTGTTTTGCATTTGTTGTATTCCACTCTTGCTCTTTCAGAGGTCCTTCACACACGGATACATACTTTGTCAAGATTTTTTCTCCTACTTCTCGGAAATCCAAGGGTTCTTTGTGTATAGTGCAGCTTGCTCCAGTAGCAACTTCATGATTTTCTGACTGTTGATCTGCACAATGCTTCAATCCCCAATAGCACATTTCTCCACTGTACATCATAGCCAGCACATGAATGTCACTAAATATTCCTGGGAAGGTCATTTATTTTGAAATTAGAGTACTTTACAAAAAGAACTTTACTTATTGAAAAACTAGTACATTCCTTGTCAATAAGCATTTTTATATCATTTAGTAATGTTCAGAAAAGCCTAATATCACAAAATACAATCTTAACCAGCTCTTCTGTCTCTCTTTTGCATAGACAAGAAACTCATCACAAAAACACAGTATTGTCAAAGAATTTTTTTAAATAGTTATTCAAGTGTTCTTATTTCTAGAGGTCCTCTTTAGGACTCTTGAGAGTTATTATTGCTGGAACCCCTCCTAGAAATGTACCCCAAATTCTACAGACAATTTAAGAATTCTTATAAACCTCCTGCAACCCAAACATGGACACAATATTTACAATCACTAATAAAGCTATATTCAAATATATTACATGCCCCATGTTTCTCTCAGACTGTACCATATCCTCATGTATCAGCATATCCTTGAGAGGTCACACAATTCTAAACTATCATGGAGGCTAATGATATCCAAGACGCTTTGTATTAATAGGAAAAAGGAATATACTGGACAATTTTCATTAAAAGGTAAACAGTCCTGCGAAATTATGCTTAGCAATTATATAATCAAATATTTACAGTAAACAAAGCATGTTAATTTGAACTCAAAAATCAAAAAGATCAGGGCAGTCCAAGAATAGAATTTGCACTTTGTGCTGGATAGCTCTAGTGTCAACTTGATACACCTAGGTTGAGGGAGCCTCAATTGGAGAATTGCCTCTATGGGACTGGCCTGTAGCCATGTCTGAGGGGAATTTTCTTGATGAGTGATGTGGGAGGGCCCAGCCCACTGTGGGTGGTGCCACCCCTGGGCAAGTGGGCCTATGTTGCATAAGAAAGCAGGCTGAGCAGGGACCAGGGGAGAAAGCCAGTAAGCAGCTTTCCTTTATGGCCTGTGCTTCAGCTCCTGCCTCCAGGTTCCTGCCCTGAGTTCCTACCTTGGGCTCCCTGATGAACTGCGACCTGGGAGATGTAAGCTGAATAAACCCTTTCCTCCCTCAAGTTGGTATTGGTCAGAGTATTTTGTCACAGCAATGAAGAAACAGACTAAGATAGTAATTGGTACCAGAGAGTGGGATATTGCTGTGACAGACCTGCCCTTGGTGTTTTTGGGAAGACTGTGGAAGTGTTTGGAACTTTGGGCTGGAAAAGCCATTGTGTACTCAGAGTTTGTTGCAGTGGAGCTTGGAACAGTTGTGCTGAAAGAGTTGTAGATGATGGAGGCCTGGCTTGTGAAGCTTCAAAGGGAAGCGGAGACTATCAGTGCTGTTCATGTGAGATTTTTGGATTGAGAATCCGTGGGTTCTGTTCAGCTGGGGCTGAAGAATCAGTTATGATTAAGAAGAGACCAGAACCTGAAGCAAAACCTTTGCTTTACTGGGACAATTGATGCTGGTTAGCTGGGGCTGAAAAATCAGCTGTAAGAACAAGAGACCAGCATCACTGAGGTGAAATCTTCTGGGAGGTATTTCCTCGGGGTCAGCACACAGAGGGGACCCACACCTCCATTTCAAGCTGGAAGCAGGACTTGGTAATGTGTAAGAGTCTCCTGCATGGTTCTTATGTTGAAAGTGTGAAGGGGTCACAGAGAGCAGCTGAGGCTTGGCACTCTGAGAGGCCAGGAAAGGCCATAGGTGAAAGTGCAGCTTCAGTTGCAATGAAGACCCCAGGATTGAAGGGGTCATGGAGAGAAACTGAGGCTTTGCACCCAGAGAGGCAAGAAGAGGCTGTTGGCGAAGGTGTAGCCTCAGTTTCAGTGGCGACTCCAGCTTTTTGGAGATGCCAGGACCATGGGACAACCACCAAGGACAGCGGCAGGTGTGGAATGGAGCTGCCCTGGGTCTGTGAGATGAGCTGGGTGGACGGCAGAGTCAGAGCAGTGGAGCTTCCAGTACTCTTTGGAGCCCAGAAGATCGTGAGTGAATCCCATATGTCCAGCCTTGAACTACTTTGCAGGATTTTGGTTTTGCTCAGGTGTGCCCGATTCTTCCCTTTGAAATAAGACAGTACTTGTTTTGGATTTTACAGAAGCCCACCTACAGTTAAGAGACTTTTAAAAGAGACTATGGACTTTTAAGTGTTTGGATTTTTTTAAGGACTGTGGAGA